ATCCATGAGCATAGGCGACATCCCTGTCTCTCTAGGGAGGGGTCTCAACTTCTCTTTGCAAAGGGGAACATAAATGTATTCACACAGTGCTCACTGTCTGGCATTCAGACAAGGCCCCATCCCAACTCCTTTTCAAATGACCAGCTTGGTGGGGGTTTTTGGGGGGGTGGATATTTATTTATTACTGGCGATTGAACCCAAGGCCTTTGCACTGAGCTATACTCCCAACCCTTTTTATTTTTTATTTTTATTTCACCCAGGCTGGGCTCCAACTTGGGATCCTTCTGCCTCAGCCTCTCAGAGTGGTTGGATGACAGGTGTGGGCCACACGCCAGCTTTTCTAGTGGCTCATTGCGCACCCCCAGCTGCAGGCTGGGCAAAACGCTCACCACCATTCAGGAGACAAATGGTGTGGATTTGAAGAGCCTGGAAGCTGAGGTCCTGTCTGTCCTTGGAGTCGGTGGCCCATTTGTCAGAGTGGGGCGCGGTGTGAAGTCGCTCTGTACCACGTCCCAGCAAGGCGGAAGCCTGGAACTGTCTTGGATAAACCAAGAGCCCTGGGTTCTTTGTGATGCCAGTCATTCAATCAACAAGCACTCGTAGAGCACCGATTGTATACCACCAGAACTGAACTGTTGGGCAACAGTCATGCAGGGATGGGAGGTGAAAAGAGTGAGCCCGTTTGTGACCTGGGTGGGGGGCATGGCCCTCCATGCGATGGAGCAAAGGGACGTGAGTTTTCACTTTCCACAGTGAATCCGTAATTGTCCCCACGTCCTGTGCTCCACGGAGGTTGCGAGGCAGGGTGTCATGTACAGATTCGGCCACACGGTGGCGACAGAGCACTGGACAGTGGGGTTGACCTTTAGGTTTGGTCCTGGCTCCCGTCCCAGTGCAAAGAAAGCCACTGTGGGCTGGGAGAACGAGGTGCACAGTACCAATAAGCATCTGTGCGATTAATCCTGCTCGGTGCCCCCCCCCATCGCCGCTGTGCTTTAGGGACCCCTCTCTGGCTTAGAACCGTTCCTGGAAACCAATGGGTCCTTCCCTCTGCTGCCTCCTTTCCCAGAGAATTGTCACCCGTAGCAAACGAAAATTCATCATGTCAGAGTGCACACGATGCTGTACGCCTGGTACCCCAGCTGCACGGGACGCTGAGGCAGGAGGATCACAAGTTTGAACCCAACATGAGCAACTTGGTGAGACTGTTTCAAAATACAAAAAAAGAGTTGGAAGTGTAGTTCAGTGATAAGCATCAAAGTATCAACTATCAAACTATCCCACTATCAACTGGGAGGGCCTGGGTTCAAGTCTCATCTCCACAAAAAATAAGAGAAGGAAGAGAGAATACATGACATCCCATTGCATTTTAATTTCAGGTGAATAACAAAGCATTGTTTTAATATCCCATGAGATGTTGGCTTGAACCCAGGGTCTTCCCAATGAGCTCCATTCCCAGTCCTCTTTATTATTTTGAGACAGGCAGGGTTTCACTAAATTAGTAAATGGCCCTGGCTGGGTTCCAATTTGAGAACTTCCTGGCTCAGCCTCCCTCAATACTGAGATGACAGGAATGTGTCATGACACCTGACTTCATCGTTGTCTTCCTTTTTTTTAAGACATGTTCTCACTATGCCTCCCAGGCTGCCCTTGAACTCAACATGATCCTCCTGCCTCAGCCTCCTGTGTGCTGGCATGTGACACCACACCCAGTCTTTTGTCTTCCTTTTTAAACTCTGCCCACTATATGTTGCTTTGAAACCTGCATAGCAAGAATAGTTTCTCTAGGGCTGGAGATTTAGCTCAGTGGCACCATCACACCTGCCTCACAAGCACAAAGTCCTGAGTTTGATCCCCGGTACCAAAAAAAATAGTTTCTCTAGCTGCCCCTCCTTTTTTATCTGTGGCTATTTATGATTCAATTAACTCAATAAAATAAAAATTTCAGGGCCGGGGATTTAGCTCAGGGGTTTTGCTGCCCGATGTCCAAGCACAAGGACCCGAGTTCGATCCCCGGTACCAAA